ACTACCTAGGGCATTTTTCACAGAAATAGAAAATATAATCCTAAAATTTATATAGAACCAAAAAAGACCCTAAATAGCTATGGCAATCCTGAGAAATAAGAACAAAGTCGGGGGGATCATGCTTCCAGACATTAGAACGTACTACAAGGCCACAGTAATCAAAACAGCATGGTACTGGCATAAAAATAGGCATATGGATCAATAGAACAGAATAGAGAGCCCAGAATTAAATCCAGTCATATACAGGCAGTTAGTCTATAACAAGGGAAGCAAGAATTTACATTGGGGTAAAGATAGTCTATTTAATAAATGGTGCTGGGAAAATTGGACTGACACATGCAAAAAAATGAAACTGGACCACCCCCTTACGCCATATACAAGAACAAACTCAAAATGGATTAAAGACTTAAATATAAGACCTGAGACCATGAAACTCCTACAAGAAACTATAGGGTCTAAATTTGCAGACATTACTCTGAGCAATGTTTTTACTGATACATCCCCATGGTCTAGGGAAGTAAAAGAAAAAATGAACATATGGGACTACATCAAACTTAAAAGTTTTTTTCACAACAAAAGAAACCATCAGTAAAACAAAAATGAAGCCTACTGAATGGGAGAAGATATTTGCCGATGATATATCTAATAAGGGGTTAATATCCAAAATATATAAAATGCTAATGCAACTCAACACCAAAAAAACAAACAATCCTATTAAAAAATGGGCAGAGGATATGAAGAGACATTTCTCCAAAGAGGACATACAGACAGCCAACAGGCATATGAGAAAATGTTTAACCTCATTTAGCATTAGGGAAATGCAAATAAAAACCACAATGAGATATCACCTCACCCCGATCAGAATGGCTTCATCAATAAATCAACAAACAACAAATGCTGGCGAGGTTGTGGGGAAAAGGGAACCCTGGTGCACTGCTGGTGGGACTGCAGATTGGTGCAGCCACTATGGAAATCAGTATGGAGGTATCTCAAAAATCTGGAAATGGAACTACCTTATGACCCAGCAATCCCACTCTTAGGTATTTATCCAAAAAATACCAAGACATTAATCCAAAAAAATATATGTACCCCTATGTTCATTGCAGCGCTATTCACAATACCTAAGACTTGGAAACAACCAAAATGCCCATTGGTAGACGACTGGATTAAGAAACTTTGGTACATTTACACAATGGAGTTTTACTCAGCTATAAAGAAGAAGGAAATAGTGGCATTTGCAACAATATGGATGGAACTAGAGAACATTATGCTAAGTGAAATAAGTCAGTCAGAGAAAGACAAACATCATATGATCTCACTTATACATGGATTTTAAGGAACTGAATGGATGGGAGATGTGGACGGAGATTGTCTCAGAGACACAGAGGAAAAACTGAGGGTTGCTAGTTGGGAGGGGGTGGGGATGAAGGAGAAGGGGAAGGTATGAGACAATACCAATTGGTAACTACAATATAGCCTCAGGGATAGAAAAGACAGTCTGGGGAATATAATCAATAATGGTGTAAATATTTCTTAGGGGGCCAGATGGACTCATGTCTTGTGGGGGAGACCACTTCACAGTCGGTGTAGAGGACTTACCACCGCACTGTATTTCTGAAGCTGATGTTGAATAATAATATATGTCAACTATAATTATATATACATATAGTCACGGGACATGGAGTAGAGAGTGGGAATGCAGTCAATGGAATTGTAATAGATAAGCATGATATCGGGGGTGGGAGGGCAGTAGATGGGGGGAGGGAGGTTGTTACTTTGTGAGGGTGAAAAGGATAACTATTGCATTTTTCTGTTCACCTGAAACTAACAATAAAAAATTTTTTAAAAATAAAAAAATAAAAAATAAAAAATAGAACTACCTATGACCCAGCAATTCCACTTCTGGGTATTTACCCAAAGAAATCCAAAACACGAAATCAAAGAAATATATGTGCCTCTATGTTTATTGTAGCACTATTTATAATAGCCAATGTGGAAAAAACTGAAATGCCCATCTATAGGCAATTGGGCAAAAAAATTGTGGCATAGTTATACAATGGAGTATTACTCTGCCCTAAAAAAAAGAAGGAAATGTTTTACCACTTGCATCAACATGGATAGACGTAGAGGATATTATGGCCAGTGAAATAGGTCAACTGAAAAAAATAAATACCAAAGATCTCAATTACAGTGGAATTTAAAGAACAAAACAAATAAGTAAATGAAACAGAAATCAACACATAAATACTGAGAACAAAGTGATAGTTGCTACATAGGAGGGGGTTGGGGGATAGGTAAGAAAGGTGAACGGGATTAGAGAGTACAAATTAGTAGTCACAATGTAGTCACAGGGATTTGAAATACAGTATGGAGAATATAATCAATAATGTTGAAAAGATTATGTGGGGTGCCAGATGGGCAGTGGACTTATCAGGGAGATTACTTTATGGACGATGTAGATGCCAGACCATGTGCTATACACCTGAAGATGAAGTTGAATAATAATGAATGTCAACTATAATTATACATATAATTACACACACACACACACACACACACACACACAAATGAGTGTACATAAAACTAATGAATCTGGATAAGGTCTATGGATAGTACCAATGTCAATTTTATGCTTTAATGTTGTACTATAGCCATACAAGATATTACCAATGTGGGAAAACAGAATAAGGGTACATGACATGGGACCTTCCTGGAGTTTTGGGCAACTTTCTGTTTATCCATTATTATTTCAAAATTAAAATTAAATAAACAAACAAACAAATAAATAAACACATTTTAAATTTAAAACAATGGATGCCTACCCGCCGGTTTGTGAACACAGAATAACATTCTTTCACAAGTACTGTTTTGATCATGTCTGGATCTGTGACAGCCAACACAGGTTGTCGACCATCATAGAACCTATATCAGGAAAACAAAGTTGATTAAATTTAAAAGCCGATATTTGCAGATGGAGCCACTCCTGGAAGTCCAGACTTTCCTTTGATGTCACATAATCCATATTGGTACATATCATGATTAGAAATAACATTAAAACATTTCTTAAGTCCAGGTAGTATGTACATGAGCATTTTCCATATTATTCTTCATAATTTTTTGTAAGTTTAAAATATTTCTGTTTTTATCTTGCTTTTTAAATTTGTATTTTAGAAATCTTTCTCATTATTTTTACAGAGAATTTTCTCATTATTGTTACAGCTGCAAATTATTTCTTTGTATAAATTTACTGCAATTTATTTAGCTACTGATGGACATTTAGATTTTTTCCCCAATCTTTTACTAAAGCAAACAAAGAGACAATGATTAAATTTTTACTAACATTATTTTGCCTGTGTGCAAGTATATTTGAATAATGAAGTCTCAGATGTTACTCTAGATCAAAGGATATTAGGTATTTCTAATCTTATTAGATATTACCATATTGCACCCTTTAGGAATTATATTCAAATCATATACCTACTAGCAACAACTGAGAGCGCAATTACTTTATTATCTTATTACACACAAAGAAGCGTGTTATTAAACACGTGAGTTAATACATCTAAAGCACTTAGAACAGTGAATGGAACATAGTAAGAGAGTGTTAATTATTTTCATTAACCAAAAAGGAAGTTAGGTTAGTAAATAGTTGAAGGAAAGTACATTATCTGGCAAAAGAAAAAAAATGAGAGTCCACCCACTCAGTCATTAAAAATATACTTTTGAAGATATATAAAAAACATGTAAAATGCATGACCTCATAGTAGATGAAAAGTATAGACATATTGATAATAAATATTTAAAAATGTGTATGCTAATGAAAAAGACTTGACATGCTCAAAAATATATAGCAGGAATATGAATGATTTCTTTACCCTATTCTAAAATTTGCTTAGTAGTTTACAATTTCTCAAAGGAAATATTATTTTAACTACTAAAGAGGAACACTGGGGGCTAGCCAAATGGCTCAGTTGGTTAAGAGTGCGAGCTCTGAGCAACGGGGTCGCTGGTTTGATTCCCACATGGGCCAGTGAGCTGCGCCCGAGCTGAGCTGCCACTGAACTGCCAACACGTGGCAGGATGGCTCAGCTGGTGAGAGCATGAGCTCCTAACAACAAGGTTGCTGGTTGTCTCCCACATGGAATGGTGGTATATTCCCACCAGCAACTAAGATTAAACAAAACACCTTGAGCTGAGCAGCCACGAGCAGCCAATGGGCGGCTTGATGGCAACTGGACTTGGATCTGAGCTAGCTGCACCCTCCACATCTAAGACTGAAGGACAACAACTAGGCTGTTCCCCTTCCCCAATTCCCCAACAAAATCTTAAAAAAAAAAAAAGAGGAGTCCTGGTTAGTATCAAGATTAGACAATTTTGAAACAAAAGGACGAGAATAAAAAAATACAGAGGAGCATGTACAATTAATTTAAACATATTTTCTTTTCATTGCTTATATTTATTCTATATATGGGTCCAACCGGGCCCTTAGCTCCATGTAGGTGACATCTGTTAGCAGCACGACAAGCCCACTTCTGACACATGTAGCTCGCAAAGTGGACTTTTTATGTGATACATTCTGATTTGGTCTGATCGCCGGACTGGTGTACTTTAAGTTGAATTACACCATCATCTGGCATTTTATTTTTTTACTATAATCAGTTGCATTAGCTAGAACAAAATGGAAGATTTTCCACAAGACTCATCTGTTCTTTCTTTGACTTCACAGAGGAATTTCAAATGGTTTTGTGATCACACATAAAAGTGGATGAGAACCACTGCACTTAATGCTGCACATTTCTGAAAAATGTTCTAAAACTCAGAAGATTTACGTGGGTGTTCAGTACATTTAGTGTTGAAGCAGTGATAAAAGTGATGTGGTAGCACTTGGATCAATGAAATTGATCATATTTCTTGGATAAGTCCCCTTCCTCATCGTGTTTATACAAAAACACCTGGGTGGAGAGACAGCATTTTTCGGTAACCTTTTATATCCATGATCTCACACCAGCCTTACTATTTCTTCCACTACCAGTTAACATTCAGATTCTTGGGCCCCAGTCCAGATCCTCCAGATTCAGTGTTGCTGGGGGGTGGGCCCCAAGAATCTGCATTTTTAGCAAGCTCTCTCAGGTGGTCCTTATATATACCCAAGAATGACAACCATTTTCTAAAAAGAGAAAGTTCCTCCACCCAGAGCTCACAAGTAGTAGATATTGGAAAGGGCAGTTCAAGCTGGACCAGTGGTGATCCAGTGCTGTGCGTTCTTTCCACTCCATCACGTAGACTTTCTGAGCCATGCCAACTCAGTAGAACTGTATGACTTGAGAGAAGATAATCAGTACAGAGAGATAAAGCCTTCCCCCACTTGCTTCTAGCATACAAGCACCACGTTACACCTCTCCCGCTGCTCTCACCACACCTCCAGCAGCTCCGAAGGGGAACAGCTGCTGTAACTGGCTGAGGCCACTCCATACAATCCTCAAGTCCATCAGCCCACCAGGAAACAGGGTGGTTTGGAAATATGCTACATCTCTTCAAAGTTAAGAGAATAGGGTACATAAAGTGATACTTGTATGAACTAAACTTTTATTTCAAAGTCTTGGCTTAAAATTAATTGAAATCCCAAACTTCATACTTGTGGAGAAAGTAAAAAATCACTGAGCAGAAATAGTTTTCCATTCTATGCACAGCCCTTTTTAAAAATGACATAATAAGTCCAAATTTTAATTTTAAAATGTCTGGATTTTAATTAATAGTAAATCATGTAGGAAAGAGAGAATGACATGCATTTATGAACATACATTAGAAAGTCTGAATTAATGCACTTTATCCAATTAAAGGTGACCTAAGGAAGGAAAAATGGAGAAGAGGGCAATGATCAACCACTGGACAGAGAGTGATGTCAGGAGTCCCTGGGCCATCAAAGCTGGAGAGTAGTGATAACCTGCACCTCTCCAGCTTGATTCAGAATGTAGACCTGGACACCTGGTGACATATCAGATCCCTGGTGGAATAGCTTCCAAAAGCTTTACAAGACTATAGGCTGACATTGTCTTAAACACCATGATGTGGGGAGTCTCAGTACATCAGCAAGTCTATCCAATGGAGAGTTTCAGTATACTCACCCCCACATATTTCCATACTTTTGGAAGCATTTCTTGTCAAAATCCCAAAAACCCTGCAAGGAAAAACAAAATGAGATTATTAATCTAAATGTACTGAATGCTACCTCTAACTGGGACAGAAAATGACTCAAATCTCATGAAATCAGCCTTACTATTTTTCACTGGCAGATAGAGGGAAGCTCTTACTCAGAGGTGTCTTAGGAAATGGAGAGAAAATAAAAGAGATATTTGAAAAAGAGAATTTAAAATCACTCTTGAAATTTCTGTGACTTGCATAGCTACTGAATGGCTTACTCTTCCATCTCTATGATACTAGGTAACTCCTTGTCTTTCTGAAGCTTTTTTTGGTGCATGTGTTGTCTCTAAAATCTCATAACCCGCTGAATTATTATCTCCATGGACACTGATTGCTAAGCTGAGGGAAAGTGAGAGTGGCCTGCACACTCTTTGATCTCTTGGTTAAGCATTATTTTCATTTATCTCATGAGCCCTCTCTACAATTCTAGCAAATTAGGAAGTTTGACACCAGTGACCTGTTTTATTCTAGCAGAGTTAAATAAAACTAACACATTTGTTGAGTGAGAAACTGAGTGAGGGAATGCATGAATGACTAAGTGGATTTGCTTTCCAGTTTTCCAGCTCAACAAGGAAAAGATGGAGAGATGGCACCACTCCATCAGGACAGAGCAAATTAACACACTTGCTCTGAGTTTTCACTTCTGTCACTTAAAAAACAATCTCTCTATTGCTAACTTTCAGCTGTGATGTTAGATGTTTTAACTGTGCAAAAGAAGGTCCCAGAAATGTGGGTCTAGGGGAGTATCTATAAGGAGTTGATCTGGGCATGGTGGAAAGGAAATTATTGTTTTTTCAAAGGGAAAACGTATGGGAAATTCTTAGACTAACAGAAATACTGAAGACCTCAGTTGGGAGAATTAGAATCTGAGAAAGCCTTTGGTCTGCGGGAAAGGAAATCTGGGGCAGAGAGCAGCCTGCATGCAAAGCTCTGCCTTCTGGCCTTATGGGTGTGAGCTGGTAACCTTTGTTCCAGGGACCAAGCCCCTGGTGTAGCATAAGGACCGGATCAATCACAAAGGCTGCACCAAAATCCACAGTCCACATGTCAACTAGTATATTCCATTCAGTTAAATTCAAAGTTAAATAATTTTGTCAATCTCCTTTCTAGTGATTTCATATAATTCTTCTCTTGTTCAAAAAAACCCCCACACAACTCATTTAGAGGTTAAATACCTGAAGTCGATAGACAACCCCCATCATGTCTCAGTTATACCCGCACCCTGCTCAGACTCACCCATAGGGTGCCTCCTCTGAGGGCAGAGAAGTAAAGCAGAAAGCTCTTGTTCCAGCTCTCAAGTCCCCCAAAGTCATCATGGGGAGCAAAGGGTGAGTTAGAGCCACGGATATAACTACAGGGATTTTGTAGTTCTCAGAGAATTCAAGTATACAAATTACCTGATGGTGAACACTTGAGCTGCCTAATACACTGAAGTTTCAAAGCTATCCAGAAGGAAGAAAACAAAAAAGGTACCAGGAGCTTATGCTACAAACAGGAAGTTTGATTCTAGCTTATTCATGTAATGAGGCACTCCCAGTCACCCCCTTCATGCTTTTCACCTAATACTAAGTACGATTATGCCTTTCTGGGAACCTGCAGCTGGCTGCAAGAAAATCCTTCTCATGATGCACCAAGTCGGAACAGCAAGTCCGGTGCTAAACCAGCCAGAGAGCTCTGTTGTCAACTGGGGCAAAACCTGAGGCTCCTAACAGCTGACAACACAGCCTTGGGGTAAACCTGGCCTGCTGCTGGGTGGGGCGTGTGACACCCTTTCAAGAAAGTGTGAAACCTCAGAACTTCCTCCTGAGGAGGGCATGTGACTACTAAGTTCAGTTGGGATCTGTAACCATGAGAAGCATAAGAAAGACCCGAAATACCACTCACATTACGGTAGCCCAGAACAGTTCCAAGAAAAGGCAGAGGTGTCGGCCCAGGGATGCCCAGCTTCTTAAAAAATCCATGTGTAGAGGTCCCATATCTATAAAGTAAAAAAGAAAATCAGGAATTATGGAGTAGGTGCTGGGGCTGGTGAGTCACTGACTAGGAACTGGAGCAGTCAAGCTAGGGATGTAACATGTAGGTGATAAGTAACATCAGCAATTCCAACAGCAATAATTACATTCATTCATCTCCGTTCTCACTTCCAGTGGGAGACCCACAAAAAGTAATGATGATCAGCTAAAAGGAGCTGAAGACTTCAGGGCCCCAATCCAAGAGTGAATACTTGAGAAATGCTTCCAGATTGGATGGCTCCTGAGAGGTTCATGCTGAAATTCTTTCAGAAAATTCATTCATGCTTGTTTAACAAGTTGACACTTCCATGATTTTGGAAATTCTAATTCTAGGTAGAAAAAGGAAAAAAGTTTTTCTGCTCTGATGATGAGATTTTGCTTAGCTGCATCCATGAATTACTGAGAGTTACTGAGAGCCCACCGAGCCATTGTTCTTAGAGTTTGCTCTGTGATTTCTATGCTTTCTCTTTCCTCTGGACCCTGACCATGTTTTAGGATTTGGTTCTTCTTAAATATATCATCAGAAACAGGCCTTGGAATAGCCACAGTATACTTATTTCTATAGAATGAAAGCTGTGTTCAAGACCTCCATTGTCCTCATAGAAATGTGAGTGCCTTTCAGCTACACCCAAGTCCATGTTCTCAGGACATTTGGTGACTTGTGCTCGAGAGAAGAGTGGTTGTTTCATATGTACCTGAATGAAATGTATAAAGGAACCAATGAATAAATAATCCATTTCCAGACTATTCTTCCCCTGGTGGCATCTGGTTCTCCAGCCTGTGATGGTCACCTGTTATGCAGAGCCAGGCTCACACAGTTTGTCAAGATGGCCAGTCACTTGCAGTTAGTCTACTGGCTCTGTGTGTCAGCTGTCTCAAAATCTTATTAAGGCTGGTGCTTCTTATGGCAGGCCTGCCTGAAATTGAACTTCCTGTGTCATATGTAGAGTCCCACAGCTGGGGGCTCTGGATCCTTGCAGCCTTCCCCCTGTGGTGTTACTGAGAGATGGCAGAGTGGAGGAGGAGGACAGGCTGAGGAAAGAGGCCACTGGCAACTATTTTGACCATGAAGCTACTAGGCCTACAAGGCTAACCCCATAGAGGCAAATTAGGGAATTATGGCTGAAAAGCAGCCTCTGTATAATGCAAGCTCTGTATAATACGCTACAAGACTTTCATCTGAAAGATAGTTGGCCTTACAAACTTTGGTACCTTCCTGTTGACAGCAAAAGATGCATTATACAACATAAAATGAGTAACCATAAAATATTCCAGAGAGTCGAATTAAGACCTTCTCTCCTCTTCTTTTGTGGTTACCCTTTAAGAAAGTATAGGTTTCTAAAATTCTATACAAATTTAGGTAATCTTATAATATGTGATGAAATAAACCCAAAAATTTCATGAAAGAATTTGTGCTGAAGGGCATAATGGAAGCAGTATGGTCAGACCCAATTGGGTGTTTGGATCCTTCCTCCAGAAAGCTGGTAGAAATGTGAGCACTGACTGTCAATTATGGGGTACTCTTGGTTCATGCCATCCCAGATTCTATCTCTGCCATCCAAACATGGCAAATCAAACAAACCAGTTTCTGCTTCTGAACTTTCAACATGTTACATAATCTCTCAAGTGAAGATAAGCAATTGAATGAATGTGTCAGCAACATTGATCCCGAGGGAAGATCTAATGTCTAAACTGACATGGTTCCATAACAAGTTAGAGGGTGGTTTGGGGGACCCTTCAATTTCTTTCCAGCTTCCCTCTTTTTGGTAGAGTAATACTGCTTTTGGTGCAAATGAAGGGGCTAACAATAAAGCCAATCATTTCTATTGCATTTACATTGTGTGGGCGTGAGAGGATACTGTCTACTCTGCAGCTTCTGACTCTTGGCTGTACCAGTGTTATCTAAGGCTAGAATGTTGTGTATTCACCAGTGACAGTGGTGACAGCCCCACTGCCAGACAGACCACACAATGTAACTTAGATGGTGTCTCTGTCCCCAGGCTTCAAAAAGATGAGATGCCTACTCTGCTTAAGTGAGTGACCTCCTATGGGACCAGGACCAGGAGCATCTGGGAAAAATATTCGTTATCCCATTCCATCCATGCTGCTACCTGGATGTCTCTTTTACCATCACTGGCTCATGATCTTGCTTATTCACCTGCACTGTGAATTTAAAATGATAGCATAGGCAGGTATATTTAAAAGCATATATACAATCCATGTCATGGAAGTATCTTTTGTACCTTAGACTCATTTACTTACATCATTCTAGAAGGATAATGATATTTATACACCTTTGTAGCCACAGATCCTGAATCAACAGCCCTATTTTATCTCTCAGAAATACAATGCTGGAAATAACTTTATATCAGTAAAAAAAATCTAGGATTAAATAGAATAAAATTAAACATTATCAATTAATTTTATTTTTTAAAATTTTATTTATTTATTTATTTATTTTAAATTAGTTGCAGGTGTACAACACAGTGCCATAGTTATACTTTTTACCTCTCAAAGTGACAACCCCCTTCCCCAATCCGCTGCTCAATTAATTTTAAAATGTGATCAGACACAAAATATGTTGTCACAATACCCTGTAGTCATAACATTTCGCTCAAAGAATAATAGAAACTTTATCTTTTCATCATGATTTTCTACTCTTCATGAAAGTGAAAATTTGGAAAGAGAGGGGGCCTTCTTTACCCATACCTCAAAAATAACTCCTCTCCAAACCTGCTTCATGATGCCAAGAATCCCATCCTTGAAAGGAATTCTTTTGCTAGGTGATTTGATTCATCCTTCTGTATGGTAACTTCAAGGAAAATAAAAGTACTTAAATCTAAATTGGTTTGTAGGTTTGTGACTTTAGAGGCTGTTAGCAGGTTTTATATTGCAGGAACATAAATCGCTATACTGATGCTGCCCCTCCCAAAGACTGAAAGGAAAAGATGAAAGAAAGAAATATAACTTCAAAATTCCTGCTAAGTTTTTTCTGATGTAAAGATTTCTCATGTAAAGGAAAATAGTTCTGCCTATTATATAGTGGGAGAATGAGTCCTAGGAGGGGAGTGCCAGAGACGGGACACAGAAAAAGGGGAGAGCCAAGTGTGAATAGAAGGGTGCAGCAGTCTCTAACACTTATGAAATCTGGGGTGCACCTTGGTGCTTTGCATAAATCATGCCAAGAAGTGGGTGGGAGGGGAGCAAGAACCAACCTGGTCACTCAGGCTCTAATCCTGCTGTATACATCTCTTGTAGTAGACACATAACTTTGCAAGTGGATGTAATGAGACAAAACCCCAATCCACTCCTTTCTGTCTCCAGGATCCCCAGAGCTTGGAGGGGAGTGAAGACCCCACTGCACAGAAGTCAGTTGTTTTTATCTGCGTCTGTTGAACTCTGGCTGATTAGTCTAGATCCATCCAAACTGGTGGTCAATCAGAAGATCATCCCCAGGAGCAAATAATGTCACTAAACCCTCTGTGTTACAGAAATTAAGAGTTGGGGGTTCATAGGGTAATACCCCTTCAACAGATTGGAGTAATATCAATAATAACCACTTTGGTGTTTGTGCACCCAATGCATAAGCAGCTACCCCTTCATTAAGCGTTTGATCTTCAAAACAGATAAGGAGAAGGGGGGCCTGATTAGCTCCCCAAGTCCAAGGTTATAGAGGACACAAGCCTGGAAAGTTACTCACAGATAGAGCAGCACCAGGCTGGCAGCAAGGAGAACCCAGGTCTCTGTGGAAAAGCTTGGGATCAGGTCCATTGTCACTTTCCTCCAAGATCCTCTCCTCTGAGGCTCCCTTTCAGCAGTGTTGCTAGTCTTTGCTAGCTTGTGCACGCAAAACTTCCCTTCTCCAGTGGATATTCAGTGAGACTAGATGTTTATGTGCTGGAAAAGGGGGTGGGGCTTGAACTGCAGCCAGTAGAAGGGCCATCTGTGCTCCAACTGCTGGTGCCCTCTCCACCTTGAAGTTGGCAAGGCATCATGGACACTACCACTTTGACAACCCATGAGTTCATGTTCTGTGGGAAATCAATGAACAACTCACTCAGTTTTATCAGTAAGCCCAAAGTTTACAGGAACTCAAGTAAAGTAACTGGACTGAAATCTCTAACCTGCCCTTCACTCCATGGCTGCTTGCACTAAAAAATATTTGAATTCCTTCAAACAAGCTAGGTCTACAGCTCTTTACCCATGCAGTTTCCTCAGCCAAGAAATGTCTGTGTGGCCTCTAGAAGACTCCTACTCATTTTTCAAAACTCAGGTCAGACAGAAACTTCTCTGTTAAAGTCTTTCTTTTTTTAAAATTAAGTTTATTGGGGTGACATTGCTTAGTAAAATTAGATAGATTTCATGTGTACAATACTATAATACATCATCTATATATTGCATTGTGTGTTCACCACCCGGAGTCAGTTCTCCTTCCATCACCAGATATTTAACACCTTTTACCTTCTTTCTATCTCCACACCCCTGTTACCATCTGGTAACCATTAAACTGTTGCTTGTGTCTATGAGTTTTTGTTTTTTGTCTTATTCACTTGTTGCTTTCAGTTTGATATCCCACGCATGAGTGAAGTCATATGGTTCTTCTTTTTTTTTTTCTGTCTCACCAGCTACTAGGGAAATGCAAATCAAAACCACAAAGAGATATCTGTTAGAATGGCTATTATCAAAAAGACAAGAAATAACAGGTGTTGACAAGGTTGTCAAGAAAAATGAACCCTCATATACTACTGGTAGAAATGTAAATTGGCACAACCACTATGGAAAATAGTATGGAGGTTCCTCAAAAAATTAAGACTAGAATTACTATATGACCTAGCAATCCCTCTTCTGGGTATCACCCCCCAAAATATGAAAACATTTATCTGTAAAGATATGTACCTCTATGTTCATAGCAGCATTATTCATGGTGGCCAAGACATAAAACAACCAAAATATCCTTGAATAGATGATTGGATAAAGAAGATGTGGTACATATATGTAATGGAATATTACTCGACCATAAGGAAAGATGAAATACTGCCATTGGCGGCAACATGGGTGGATCTTGAGATGATCATGCGAAGGGAAATAAGTCAGACAGAAAAAATACAGTTTTTCTCTCTCTCTTTTTTTAAAGATTTTATTGGGGAATTGGGGGAGTGGAACAGTGCTGGTGAATCGGGGTAAGGGGAACAAACAAGTTGCTGTCCTTTTGTTCTTCAGTCTAGTTGTAGAGGACGTCGCTTCACTGGCCCATGTTAGTATTATCATTGCGCTCTTCCTGGATGAGGCAGATCGGTCGCCGGTCTCTGAACGGCCGCTCACGGCAGCTCTTGGAGCTCACACCGACTGCCAGTGCTCATGCTGGCTGCTGGCTACACAGGGTAGCTTATGACAGCCCACCGCAGCAGGAGCTGCAGCCTACGCCGGCTCCAGTGAATCACGGCAGCCCAGCTCCAGGTCGAGCTGCTGCTCACCATCTTAGTTGTAGAGGGCGCAGTGTCACTGGCCCTCATGTGGGATCCGAACCAGGACCCTGCTGCTCTGAGCTGGCGTGCCAAGGCAGCTCTTAACCAATGCGCCACTCAGCTGGCCCAAAATACAGTCTTTCTGAACCAACCTCCTTGAACACATAAAATCACTGCCTCCTCTGGACAGCTTCTATTCTGTGCACACAATTCTTCTCTTGTCCATTCTACCCTCCAGCACCACTGTTGGTCTTCCCACCAAGTTCCTTTACAGATTGAGAGCTACTCAAGGGCACAGTCTGGGTATTAGTCACCATTATGTCCCTAATCCCTAGCAGAGCACTTTACACAGAGTGGTGGAGTTGAGTTGGTAGAGGTGAGTTTACTGGGTGCCCTGTGAACTCGTTCCCTGTGACTCTTTGGTGACTACACCATCTTCCTGGATTGTTAACACAACAACAAGGCCTGGATGTGCCTCAGCCACCATCACTTCAAATTCAGGCTGATGCATCAAGATTTTGTTGACAAGGGGCCCCTGAAGGAGAGGCAGGATGCAGACAAGATGGTGATGGCTACACCAAGCTTATCAATTGATGCTGCTTCCTTTCCTGCCCTTAGAGGGTCCTACAGTAGACAGACAGAGAGACTTACGGCCAAACAATGACTCCTTCCCTCTGGAAAGACCACAAGTCTAAGAACAATGCATCTGAAGAGGAGAACAGCATCCTGGATCATCCAGTGGACCCCGAACACCTAAGCCACAGCTGGCATGGCAAATGTCACTATGAGTAATACACACAGTATACAGGACTCCAGAAAGATGACATGAGATGTTTTTCTGAGGCAAAGGGTGTCACAGCAAAGATGGCTTCCTGCTTTAGACCTGTGGGGGATTTTTAAATGTGCAGTGAGGAGCTGGTAACAAAAGGCCTATAGTAGCAACCAGTGTCACCTGTGACACACACACCCCTGCCCACCACATTCCTGATGGGAAACATTTAAGAACTGAGCATCTGGAAATTCCACCGGCTCACTATCATCACCCAGACCTATGTTTTATGTCTGCTTGGCCTGAGAAACTGTGGATTATGTTAAAAACAAAACCTCAAAATTTCTAATACACAAAGAAAGAAAAGACACTTAAACTATGTTTGTGCACTTCCCTTTCTCTTTATGCTTTCTCACTTTCAGCCCTTTTGCAGAAAGTGATGCTCATCTGTCACCAATTCTTTAGGTCCCTCTGACCTGAAAGTCCCCTCCCTAGGGCTGCCTGACACTGGACTGACAGGTTGATGTCTCATTGGTAAATGCAGTAAGTCTCAACTATCTTACCCACTTCCTTTTATTTATTTGGAAGCTTGTCATGCAGCCTGAAATTTCTACCATCACAGCTTGACAACTTTGGGTTAAAGTTTTCTCCATAAGGCACATGTTACATTCCATAGCTGTCACTGGAGCATGTAATGCATGAATACATGCATTGAGTCAAGGCCAAGTGGGTAAATGTTATGTGTGGTTATCATGTCAGGCTGTGGGCTATAAGCCATACAGTCCCCATCTTTGGGAGCAGCCTCCCAGTGGAGGGAGAGAGACACATAACCGTGCTGAGAAAGTGGTGTAACCTCTGCAAGGTGTGGGATAATGGAGCCCTGAAAGGAGGTAACTAAGAACGGGCTGCAATCTTGTATACCAATAAAGGCAGACAGAGAAAGCTGAAAGATGATCCCTAGGAAAAGTCGGATAGAAGGTCCCAGGAATTCCAATACATTTTTTCTCCCTCTTGGTGCTCACACTGGGTACTGTTAAATAAGGTCTTGCTACTGTTTTCAGTTTGTAACTGTAGAAACTGAGGCTCAGTGGCTTCCCAAAATCTATTCATTACAGCAACTTACTACAAATAAGCTAATTTGAAGGGAGACTGAAAAGTCTTCTGCTAAATGCCAGTATTCAACACATGCCATTCCCTGATAAGGGTCACTATGGGAAATAGTGAGATCCAAGGCTGCTATAACAGTTGGTTAAAATTCTGGTTCCCCATAGTGACTCCCATGGGTCTTCCAGAGAAAGGACTCCACCTCATTTCAACAGGAACAAACAATTGCAAGACTTTTCAGCCTCCCTTCCTATTGGCTTATTTGTAATATGTTGTGATGAGCAGCTTTTGGGAAGCCACTTGCAGTCACTGAACCACAGTTTCTACAGCTATAAACAGGGGACAGTAGCATGACCCTATTACTAAGGGTCTCATACTAAGGGTATTGTTGGGTAGGATCTCCCCTCTATGCTCCCAACCAGAGAGGTACACAACACACATCCAACAAGAAAACATTAGATGTCATCTGATATCTATTAACAACTTAATTCACTCACCTAAACACAAAGCCTTTATTCTTCTTGGAAACAAATCCTCTGTGGAAACTGATATGCTTTTATCTTCCTCCGAAGTCACACTTGGCTCAATGATTTCATAACTAAGCCTAATATGACCATCCGCTGGGCCTATTCACCTCATGGACTGGTCCAGCTAGTTGGAATCTATCCCAACAGACATAGGCTAGTCATTCCTTAGGACAAAAGTGTAGCCAGCATGGTGTCCTAACCAATGCAATGACCTTGCTCCTCAAGGGGAAATAATAGAAGGCATGATCTTTGTGCCCCTTCCTCCCACAGAAGGAAACATTTAACATGAATAGACTCACATACTAAGAGTTGTGCTGAATATGTGAATAAATACACTGTGTGTCAGAGAAACACCACACACATCTCATGTCTCTCATCTACTCAATTGTGTGCTTATGTGCTCATCACCTACTTTTAAAAGTCTGCTCTAAATGCTTAGCGTACAATAATGAGTAGGACCTAGACATTATTCAGGTTGATATAGAGACAAATTGACAGGTAATTATTTTATAGCCAAGTTAAAGTAATGATACAGGTATGAGAAACATAACATCCTCATCAGCAGAGAATGGCTTATCTGCTTTCTCTGTTTACTTAGCAAAAGGTCAAAGTCGAATCTCAAATAACATTCAGGGAAGCTTAAGCTCAGATATGAGTATAATACCATGTTTCCCCGAAAATAAGACCTCGCCAGAGAAGAAGCCCTAGCATGATTCCTCCAGGATATGGAGAGCATGTGCCCTCCACATGAGAGTTTTATAACCTATTTCGGGGAGAAGAGTGCCTTTTCCACAAACTTCTTCAGCTTAAAATACTCAGTATACCAAGGTGCCATATTTCGGCCCCTAAAATCATGTGAGGGCTTATTTTCCAGCTAGGTCTTATTTCGGGGAAACAGGGTACAGTAGGTTGTCAGGAGTCAGTGATGCAAAGAGCATCATCAGTCTGATATTTCTGTCCTTTTTAATGTTATCCCATGTGGCACCTTTTTTGGGATGCCCATTCTGACATCCAATGGCCCAGAGAATTGCTCACTGGGTGGGGAGGAAGTGTTG